GAAGGGCAACCTCGGCCTTGGTTGGGGAGAGGTGCCCTGAGCCTGGGCCTCCTACCGCACCCGTGACAAGGCCAGGCGAGGCACATGTGTCCGTGCTGGCGAAGCTTTGCCGGCTGAAGGCGGGAACAACGGCTCTAGTGGTGGGTCCAACCCCGGTGCCGCTGACGTGGACCCGAGGCACCACCGGCAGATGTTCCCCTCGCCTGATGGCAAGACTCACGCACGAGGATCTGCAGCCTCAGTCTCCGTCACTCAGCCTTCACCCTTCGGTTCCATTCAAACCTTCTCTGGTGCAAGTTCAGTTGGTTTCTCTTTTGTCCTGTTCTCTGTGGAGACAAAGAGCTTCTTCTTTATTAACATTTTCTACATAGAGGAGAATGATCCTGCTAAGACCAAGCTACTTCCATCCCTGTGTTGTTTTACATGGTTATCTTGCAGATCAATGATCTCACAGGGACCTTTAAACCCTTCCCACCACTTTTTTTTGCACCTTCTGCCTGCCTTCCTGCTCAGACACCTTCCTCCGAAGTCCTCCACTGCGGGGACCCTCTCGGTGCCGACGCGCTGCCGTAGCGTCCCCAGTCTGCGAAGAAATGGGGTAGACATGAGTCGTGGTGTCCACTTCTGCCCACAGAGGTACCAATACTTTGTGAAGGCTTTTATTCTGTGAATTTTATAAGACACAGCGTTAATGGATCAGTAACAAGTAAATTTGGAAACAGTAGGGGTTTTGTTCAGCTCCAGTTTTACTGTAGCCTTTCTACTATCTTCCTCACTCTCAGCTTGTTCTCGTTTGGTCTTTCCAAAACAGCTGCAGTCTTTTCCTCTTCTGGCACAAATGTAGAATACATGTGTTTCAAATAGAAGCATATATTCTTAATTAATATGTACTGTATATTGTTCTGATAACCGATCCTCTGTGAATCTAAATAATACCTCGAATGAAAAAACCCCAGCAACTCCAGTTTTAAGAAATCTCATTTGAGGGGATAATTTAAGATAATTCAATGGGGTTTAGTCAGCCGTATTTTGTGGAAGGTGTTGGTTAGACACTGGAAGTGATGCGTGTCCACACTCCCCACACCGTGCTTCTTCTGCTTAAGGGGTTCTGGATTTAACCGCGTTGCTTCCTCGTCACTTCCTATTGCCATCCTACAGCCTGCTGGCTCACATCTGAAGAATCCTTTAGTTGGATTTTCTGTGTGTCACTCTTCCACAGCCAGCTGCAGAGGATGCACGAGGAGTGCTTCTCCAGAAATATTTGTGCTGTAAAAGCCTGTATTCGGGTATGAATCCAACCGAGTGGTGCACTTTGCATTTCCACGTGGCTCTGTACTAAGGCTCTGTAGTCATTAGGTCTCTTGTGAGAAAACCAGGTTTCAGTCTCGATTCCCGTAGCTGGAAGTGATGCTATTCCTGAAATGTATTGCACAATTACTTGTGTAAGCAAATTCTGCATCTTAATTACTCATTTAAGTCTGTGATGCAGCCAAGAACTAACCCCACATTTTGTGAGGTCCTTGGTTTCTGGCCCTGGGGATGTGGCTGGGTAAAGCAACTGCAGAAATAACGTATCATGACTATAAGTACTTTGTTCTTTTAAAGCATGTTAAAGCTGTCTGTGGAGCAACTTTGTACTCTTAAAATGCTTCTGTGATGCGAGAACAGCAAAAATACACCTTTTAACAAAAGTTACTATTTCTGCACTTGTCATGTTTTCTCAGCTCAGGTTCTCCAGACTTACTCTTGCAGCACCCGAGAGCTTTTCACTGTTGGATCTTCTTGCAAACGGGGATCCTCTAATGCAGGCTTTCTGCTTAACAGGTCGTCTTTACAGGTTACTGTTTCGGCTTCATGGGAGACAGTTCTTGAGTATCTTGGAGCAGTTTTGAGGTAAATCTTTGAACAGGATTTGAATTAATGGTTCCAGCTAAACTGTACGCCACTAAAAATACTTCAGGCTTGTTTTTCAGCCTTTACAATGCTGATGCAATGATGTGATCTTCGGGTGCCACCTTACTCGTGATTTTGGGATCCCTTCTTTTTCGCGCCAGTGCAAAAAGTAGGTACTGCTGCTAACCGTGATTAAGGAAGTTTGTTTGCATTATGTATGTTTTTTATTAAACAATGTTTTCACGTCTCCATTACAAGCCAGCAAGACAGCTGCAAGTCAGCAGATTCCTGAAGGCACACCATGCACATTCCCACTGTGCATGTAAATTAACTTGTTAAGCACAGTCTTTATTTAATTAGTAAAAATACATAAAGGAGATCTGCCAGTTGGAAAACATTTCATACTAAGAGCAAACCAACCTCAGTTACTTCCTGTTGACAATTTATTACTGCTTTACGCTTGGATTTCATAGATGTGACAGGTGTTTGTCCTTTTCAATCAGCTGCACTTCACAGGGTCCTTGGGATTGTCATTGTCTGGGTTTTCTTAACAACCTCTCCCTGTGGGGTCGGTACCTGCCCCCTGCCCCTGGGCTGCATTTCTGACAGCAGCACTCAAGCTCTGCCCTGACTGTAGTTCTACATCTTGCACCAGAGTCCCTCTTTCTAAGGAACTCTGTGGTTAGAGCCTTTCTGGATCCCTGAAAGGCGGCAGGCTCACGGGGAATTTTGTGACTTCTTGTCTCTTCTTACAGTGGTCAAACAAGCTGCCATAGTGGGCGATAAATAGAGGCAGAGTTTCATTCAGTATCTCCAGTGGGACTCCGCTGTAGTACCTGAAATGTTTGTTGCTGGTTCTGATCCTCACACCTGTGTCCTTGGCATTCTTCAGAATCACAGAACCACAGAATCATCCAGGCTGGAAAAGACCCCTGGGATCATCGAGTCCAACCACGCACCTTCTTCTCCTTTACTCTTCAATTAAAAGGATGAGATGGTAAAAATGACACCCTGTTTTGCATTATCACTGGGTTCTCTACATCTTTCAGGTTTCCACACCCAGCTGATCGACAGGGGCGTAGCAGGGCCAATAAATCAGTATGGTGTCTAATTCTGAATAGGTCGTCCAGGAAATTTTTAGTAAAGAAACCAGCTATCATTATACCCATGTTTGGCTTCCATTCCTCCCAGCCTCCGTAAGCCTTACAGGGGATGCCTCGCGTGTGCTGGCAGGGGGAAGAGAAGGAGAAGGCGGCAATAGTGGAACTGCCTTTGATAGGCAGGTCTTTGAAACTGGGCTGTGACAGTGTCTGATTTTGAAGCACCCTGCTGGGATTTTAAGCACCTCGAAAAGCAGGTTTGAAATCTGTAAAAGCAGCAATATTGATGATACTTCACAATCTCAGTAAAACTTGGTAGTGGCTAGTTGCAGCACATGTGGTGATGCCACAGCGGCAGGCGATGGAAAGTCCCTCGCAGTGACTAAGCCAACTTCACACGTCAGATTTCAGAGGCTCTCTAGTGTCTTGCCATGCTTGTTGGAGGAAGCCAATTAAATCACTGTAACAACAAACAGAATGGTTAATGGAACAGAGCAGCCTGTTAATGTAACAGAGGCAGTCTGGAATTTCCAGGTAACCGGGGAGATTGGTTCTTAAGTGGCACTTCAGCAACACTGGTTCACAGGATCTTCCTCAAAAATTAGTTCCCCGCTCTCTTTACCACCACAATTTGCAATGACAAGGCATCAAATGGTAGAATCCCAAGTGCACGGCTGTAGCAAGTAAGACAAAACTGCCTATGTCAGAGTTTGTTTTCAAAGCTTAGTGACTATACCTACCTTATAAATCAAAACATGCGACTTAATAGATGGTGCCCAGCTGACCTGGCACAGGACTGAACACATCCAAACAATGTCTGTCACCTGCCCTGAGAATCTGCTACAACAAATCCAAGGTGTAATGAGGCAGAACAGGATTTGTTTAAGTAATAAATGTTTAATCAAAGAATTTTACATATTATTAACAGCATTCATTTGGCCAAACATCTACATGGTTGTAGTATCCTACCTGTATATAAAGTGGGAATGTATCAAGTATAGACTATGAAAGTGCAAATAACAATTCAAGGTTAGAGTAATTTTTTTTACATTATAAAATTAACAGGTTTACAAAATAGTCTTGCCAAACTTTCTTTTTGAACTGTGAAGTCAATGACTATGGTGTTAAAATAAGTACCAAGAAAATACAAATTTAAAGAGGCTAATTTCATGCTCATAAGGTAACACGGAAACAATGGATATACTGCACAACCTAGCCAAATTACAAAAAACCAGAACCCACAAACTTCACTATCTTCACAGAGAGCACTCTTACATATCTTACGGAAACTTTGCAAGACATCTCAATGCAACGCACAATCTTTTTGTGAGAATCTTTCTATTCAGAAAGTACACTTCCAGGAAGCTATGTGAGTTAACTTTCAGATCAATTTACGATGATAGTTCATGAAAAACTGCTGCAGTTGAAGGATTTTATACCATAAAACAATTTAAAATAGGTATTTTTTTAAAGATGTCCAAAGGTTTATGATTATGTCAGGAGCAGGGTGGATAGAGAAGTTGGAAAATGATTTGAGACTACTCTATGCCGTTGTCTCTAAAGATGCTTGCAAATGAACAGGGTTTTTATGGGGTAAGGGGAATATAGTCTTACTTCGTGTTTTACTGATACGAACCTTGTGACTGCAAGGTTCAAAAGCTGGATCTGCATGAATGAGTTACCAAAACACTCACTTGAACTCACAGGAATCAATACATAAACTTTGCTATCATGACACTTGCCTATACACACTCAGTAGTAATAAACTGTTATATCATATCAACAAATCTCTGGTAACAGTTAGGCAAAACTTAAAATGGAGTGTACATAATTTGCTTGTGTTATGACAAGTTTTGATTATATGTAATTGAAACAGCCATTTGAACAACTTACTCTAGTTGTAATTACATACTGTACCATTGTATCTCACTAACTGTAGATTGATGCTTTTAAGCAAATCTAAAACCAGTATTTTTTTTTCACGGTACAACAACTAGGAAAAGGGGGTTTTGTGTTCTGGGTTTTTTAAACTTTTTTATTTTTTAACACTAAACAGTAACACACAGCAAATGAATATTGTGCAATTGAACAAATACCTAGCAGTGTCTTGTTTATGCAAAAAACACCGACTGAACATTTAGTTATTTACTGTAAAGGCAAGGCCATGGGTGGTTTTATGGAGGTCTTTGCAATTAATAGCATAGTCCAGAACAGACACTGAATTTGAATTATTTGTTTAACTGTGGCAACTATCCAGTTGGGTTAGGCAAAGGCACCGTAACATGTTGAGCAGAATGTGTTATCCGAACTTTAAATGTGGGACTGGCTAATATACGAAAAGTCTGTATTCCTACGTTTTTATAAAATGTTATCATTAAAAGTAATTGCACTGTCAGTGCATAGAATGCTTTGTAGAATCATGAAAACAAAGAACTATGATTGCACTTCCATTAAAGTGTCTCTTAAAATACAGCATAGCTGTTGCTAACTCACTGTATTTTAATATTTAAAATAACTGTTTAACAGCAGCATTAGGTTTCATTAACTTAAGATACAGGCTACATTTAATTAAATGCAGTCACCATGGCAACACATGCCAGTTAAATTTAGAGAAGCAATGCTACCCAGTGGTTTCTTTCACTGCTAAGAACTGTGGGATTAGTCTGCGAGAGTAACACTGCGCTGTTTCGTTAGGCTACTGCCAGCTAACTATTCACAGTTTGGCACATTTGGACTGTAAATAGACATGAAAAAATCTTTGATTTTAGTGGGAAAGAATATCCCCTAAAACTTGTTCCTGGAGCAGTACTAAAGAGAAGCATTAAATACCTCCGCTCACACTGCTAACAAAAATGAAAAACAAGTAAGGAAAAGTCATGGAGAACAAAACCAAAATGCAAATGAATTGCTAGATGTTATTCTGGTGAAAGAATCAGTTCGAAAAAATGGAATAAACTATTTCTTAGGAAAACCAACCAAAGTAATCAGTGTCAGCCTTTAATCTGTACTTTCAAGTTAAGGATCACCAACCTAAGGCTAAACAGATGCTGCATTGTATTAGGAATGTGGAATACAACCTAGTTATTCCTTTTTCTCAAGAGCAAAGAGGCAAGTACTACCTAATTAAATGAGAAGGATATTCCTTGAAAGGTTCACATTATCATAAAGAACTACAATTCAAGAGAACCCCTAAATATCCGTCGTTACGTCGGCGGTTACAGCGGAGCTGTAATTAAGTGGAACAAAGCCTCCGTGGCGCTCACGCCACACACTGTACCCTCTGTCGCCGCCTTTCACGCACTCCAGACGTCCTTCTCGTTCACACCAGGTGCACGTGTTCAATCCATTCACTTGCGGTTTGAGGAGTCTGGCTTGAAGTGTCTCCTGAGGCATCCAGGGTGCTCGTGACCTCCCTGCTATCGCCACCGCTTTGTGATACCGCCTCACCTGGAGCCATGTTTTCCTCAGAAGCGCCTTCCTCTGTCTGGGTTCCTCTGCCCTCGTTTTTGAGCGCGTCCTCAAACAGTGCGTGCTCCTCCTGCGGCTCCAGCCCCGTGCCCAGGTCTGGCTGCCCTGCAGACCCATCCTCAGCACTGGGTTGCTGTGAATCCTCATCTGTTTCCGTACTCGTTGAGGGGATCAGAGCAATACTCTGTGGGTTCATGTCATGAAACCAGGCCATAATATTTCCGAGGAGATTTTCACTGGTATTGGGGTCTTGGCTGCTGGAGTCAGCGTCACTAGATGTTGAGTATAATCCACCTCTTGTATCGCTGCAGGGGTGCGAATGGAGACGGTCGGCCGAGAAGGGATCGCTGCCTGCACCCAGTCTCATGAGACTGTCACCAAGTTCTAACAGCTCAGAGCTGCTCAAAGCGCCTCGTGGATTATCTATACTTATGGGAGCAGAGTCCAGTCTTGTGGGCAAAGAGGTACCTATTGCTCCTAAAGATGCCTCGTTATTTAGAAAGTCTCTAGTTTCTTCATCTATGGCCAAGCCAGATTCTTGTAATGACAACTGAATAGCTAGTAGGATGTTTGGGTCGTCTTCATCCAGAGAACTCAGAGCCTGTGGAAATACGTAAGGTTGCTTTCAGAACAAAACTTCCACCTTGTTACCTATTTTGGATTAAAAGCAGCTTGGGCTCAGATCTGAAATTTGTTCATTATTCCTACATGCCATTTATCATAATCAATTTTTACTGACACTGCTGGCAACAGAATTTAAAAGGTGACTACGGTTACATTAGTGATCGCTTAGCAATCCTTACCCGTGTGAATGTGTAATTTGTTGTCCTAGATTCTCCCTTTCTCATCAAAGAATTAAGAAAATTTGCAGAGAGACCATATGACACAGAAAAGCAGAGCAGAGGAAGGCAAGCAAAGCAGAGAAAATGGAAAAGAGATTAGAGGAGATACCTGAAGAGAATCCTGGTTTTCAGAGCGACTGACAGGGGTATAGTCATGAAGTGAAGAGCTGTGCAGAATACCCATAGAAGCTGAACTCACCATGGAGGTGCCATGTCTTCTACTACTGCCACCTTCCTGAGTGTCTGTTTGGGCAATTGAAACAAAAACGGTTGAAGAAGCAGTGAAAAAGACCTCTGCACTGTTATTTACTGACAGGATCTCTTCCTTACTCTTTGATTCCAGCCGTGCAATTTTACTCCTTTACTCTAACTAAATAATCCAAACCACTTCTTCCACACCCAGCTCTTGCACCGTGGCAAAGCAGCAGCCAGTCCCGCCACGTGCGCAGCGACTGCCTGGCTCCGCCGCACGCTTCTGCTCCAGCACCTGTGCCCCAGGATGGGGCACGCCAGCGGGAGCACGAGCCTGTCAGCAGGAGGACAAAGTGCTTACAAGGCACGTCCTGAAAAATACTGCACGTGGACACAACACAGGACGCATCTGCAGCTGGATTACCAGCAAAGTTTGGCCACCTCTCCATTCTCCAGAAGATGACAACTCAGCTGTCATGTGAACACTGCGCTAATATTTCCGTGGCACTGTAGCATAATTAAGAGTAGAGCTGTTAAGTGTGTACCTCAGCAACCTCTGACATTATGGTTTTCTTAAAACAGCCAACGAAAAAATAGAAGTAAAATGCTGTTTCCAGAAAAACTGCTCTGTAATGAAAATAAATGTAACCCTTTTGACTCTGGAAAGTGGAGTTTCTGCTCAAAACGAAGTAAGATGAGACCAACTCATTCTCTCTTGTGCATTTTAACAGTATGCACTGGTCATCACTACACTGTCCAAGTGTTCAGTCCAAGTCCAGTCCTCAAACTGACAAGATGGTTTTGCATCCTGCTTGCAATAGGGAAGTACCAAAGCTCACCAAAATTCTTCTTACTGTTTCTAAAATAAAGAATGCATTTGTTTATTCCTCCTCAGCAAAGGATTTGTTTTTAGAGGACGAGCCATGCATAGGGCTCAAGTCCATGAGACACGGCGATACGAGTTCGTGCTCAGAGGCCGAGCGCACAACCCGCAGCTCTGAAGAAAGAGCATCGGAGCACAGTGTGGATCTCGGCTGCTTCTGCACCTCTGCTAAAGCCCTTGGCGGAACGGAGACAGCCCAGACAGCCAGGGCACGGTGACCTCAAGGGACTGTGCCACCAGCCGCAGCACGGCTTAGAAGAGCAGCGTGCTGGAAGTCGCAGCCCACACCAACCTGCTTCCCGGCTGTCTTTGCCAGCACAGGAGTTTCTGAGCAGGGTTCAGGAATCCAGCCTTGCGACTGTCCTGCAGCAGGCCTGTAGCAGCAGAACCTTCTGCACTTTTTATGTACAACTGGTCCTTTTCATTGGCAAAAAAAGAGCTGGCAAATAGGTAAGACTGCCATCTGAAGTATGTGCCCTTCAAAATTTCTCCAGAAAAGCGAACCTGCTGTAAGGAGCTGAGGAGGGGTTAGCGGGAGGATCGATGCACTTCTCTTTAAAAAGAGGAGCAGCCACAGGGAAGTCAGGAATGCTTCTAAGACCACATACAAAAATGCAGAGATAAGCCCTTATGTTGTATCCTGGAAAACACAGCAATGCAACCGAAGAACAAACACTGTGATCCCTGCTACAAATTTCGGAAGTAGGAGGAGCAAAAAGGCAGCCCCAGGCAGGAACATACCGACTGTACTCTCACTGGGGTCATCCGGATCCGGGGTATTACTCAGCAGACTGTGCATATCTCCGCGTCGACGCTGTCTGTGCCTCCTCCGATACTGAAATTCAGCATATTCCTGCATAAACCAAAGGTTACAAAGTACAGGGCAGCATGCAGTAATATTTTTCTGATGTGACAAGCACCACATTTTTATAAAAAATGTGTGATTTTATGTTTATTATAAAATCATCTGTTTTCAGAAAAATAAATTGCAAGTTATACCATGCAATGCTTAACATAAATAAAAAAGAAATTCCAAGGTAATCCTAAATCTATAAAATAATGAATTAGCAAAGAAAAATACTTGACGTATCACTGGCGTTTTAATACTTGCAATCTCCCTTTCCAAAGAATTCCAGGGAAACTTTTTTGTAAAAACTTCAATGCCAAACTTTATGTACACACACACTAACACACTTTTTAATAAATATATACCTGGTGATTTTAGAATGTTGAAACAATCTGAATTAGAGCAATCGGTTATCTCAGAGTCTCTATTGCCAGCAATGGCCCCTACCCTTGGCAGATGCCAGAAAGCTGGCAGACAGACACCAGGACTTACTTACACTCTGGCTCAGGACCTTGTTAAACCACAGCCGACACTCTTCGACTGAACAGTCCTGGAGGGATTCTTTATTCCGTGAATTGCACGTCTCTGTTTTTGCCTAATTTGAGCTGCTAATGAGCCATCCCATACGGATTTCAACTCCCGAAGCCTGTGATTTCTCGTGTTCTGTGTATTTTACCCAAGACAGTTTATATAACCCTTATGGAAAAGACTCACTTTTGGCCACATCAAGCTAACATCCTGAGGGTTAATTATCTTAATACCTGGACATAAATATTTGATTTCCATACCCTTCCTAATATTAAGAGACTAATTTTATGCTTGCAGGCAAATTTCCGTTGGTTAGTACAGCTGACACTGATCCTGACAGTGCAGGTAAGATCCCTTGTTAACCTGTTTTACATTTACATTTACATTTACAAGGCAATAAAAACACACACACGGGTAGTAGCTCCTCTCTTTGGAAAAGTATATTGCTGTTTTTTTCCCCTAAACCCCAGGTTCAGAAAACTGCAATCCAAAGGCTTAATTTGGCCAAACGACCTGGGAAAGATACCATGAGCTTTCCTTCCATTAACTCCTCATCCTAGAATATCTCAACATCTAACGCATCTAAAATTTAATTCCAGAAGTATCATTTCTCTTGCACAATGACTCTAGCAGTTTTGATGGTATTATGATGGAATGTTGTCTTTCTAGTAAGTGTTTCAGACCAAATTCTTAGGCAAGCCAAAAAAGAACAGTCACAAAATGATCACCGTGGGTATAATTTATCTGTGTAAGGTCCATGAAAGTTGTAAGAACATAAAAACAGCTGTACTGGAGCAGAGAAAAGGTCCATTTAGGCCAATATTCTGTCTTCAGCAGTGGTTAGTAGGAGATGCTTTTTAGTTTATGGAACAGCATAAAAGTCAGGGCAAATATGATGTGATTCTTCTCTAAAATATTCTTCCAGCTTGTAGGGAGTTCAGGGATTTCCTAAATGGAAGGCTGTGCCCCAAACAACAGAAAATCAAATCTTGATTTGAAACAATATAACTGAGTTATTTTAAAATATATAACTATATAGCTATGAATTGGATAAGGACGGATGAGAAGCAATCACTGTACACTAAGATTTATTTGTCAGATCTTATCTCTTGTCTGTTTGCAATAAAATTACAGATTTTATGGACAGCCACTTAACTTTTGGTTGCTTTTCTTGATTACCACTGATAAAATTTTTTTGCACGTGTGAACAAAAAGAGGTTTATTTTTATTGGGCAGGAACACCATAGTTTCACACAGAGGTCTGCAATAAGCAGCGCTCCTTGCTAAAACCAGTAAGATTTTGTTTTCTGTAATCATCTTGTACATGCAGACGTTCCACTACTTGCCAGTAAAATCCAGCTCTATGTGAAAAATTTTGTAGTGAGATTCACCCAAATAAACAAAGACTACCACTCTACAAAATTCCTTTAGCACAGGTGGTTGCAAGTATCCTTGATAGCTACGTAGCAAAGGAAAGCAGCTGCATCATATGGTGCCAGAGTGAGGCAAATCACAAAAACTCATGACTGCAAGGGCATCTACTGCTAAACAGCTTATCGACATATTTCTTAGCAGCTTTTTCTCATAATCAGTTCCACTGGTGACATAGCAACATCAGAATGAGTTTGATATTATGAAATGGGGATTTATTTACCAAAAAAAAAAAAGGACCAGAGGAACTAGACATGAGAAGCAAGTTGATCTTTTGTAGAGAAGCAAGCTATTTTCTCAGCAGCACGATGCTTAGCAACGACAGCAAAGGAAATATATAGGAAAAGTGCATGGAATTTTTTAAAATGGCCAGCTAGAAAGAAAGCGGCACCAAGGAAATGCTGCAATGAAGTTTCCTTCCTAACTGAATGCTTTAATCTAATGTTTTCAAAATATTAAATAAAAATTAAAGGAAAGCTTTATAGGAAGCTTCTTGTATTTTAGTGCAGAGTCTTGAAAATGATTTACTCTTCCCCACACATGGATAGTGGAATATTCACTTTAAAAAATCATTATTTTCATCTTGGTTAAGTAGCAGAAGTTTGAGTTTGCCATTTCCATCCTGCTTCAATACATAAAAAGAAACAATTCAAACAGTTAACAACATTTAGGTGCATGCCTGTATGTTTTTGTTGGATTGTAACACAAGGATGGAAATTTCGTAGACTTTCTGTCAAATTCTGCTGAATTGAAGTTGCATTCAAAAGTAATCTACCCAACTACATGTGTTTATTACCTGAAGGTTCCTCAGCTCACAGACATCAGTTTATATGCAATTTTAAAACTGGTGATGTCATTGGAAAATGCTGAATACAACATAGCTTGTCTGATGCCACCTTAAATAACCACAGCCATGCCAAAGGCACTGTTTATAGTCGTTGCACAATTGGCTATGCATATATTTCCTTCTATAGTGAAATAAATAAAATAGTAAGCTTAAACCAACTTGAAATGCTTTGAATAAAAATAAAGAAGCTCTTCATGCAGACTGCGATCATACCTGTGTTTCTAGAATATGCAGAACCAAGTTTAAAAAAGAAAGAAAAAATAGTTTACCTCAGGGGATGCAAATCCTAAATATTCCCAATCCCATGTTCCACCAGCAAAGCTACGAAATGAAGAGATATACCACAAAGTTTAGAAGTAGAACAAAGTATGAACAACCTCCAAGTCATCAACACCTAAAAACCAGTGCAACTATAGCTCTCTACACTTAAAACACTCTTCTGCTTTAAATTCTTACAGTAAAATTAATTCAGGACACCATACAACTCAATGGCTGACTATTCCAGAACTGCTCAGTATTTCTTACAAACACCTCTAGACTTCTGGAGTGTACCAGGTATTCAGTGACAATTTTGAAGGGAAAAAAGTGACATGGAAGCCACAACACCTAATTGTTAATATATAACGAATGGGAAGGAAGTTCAGGTTGCAACGCACAGAGCAGTGACTCCCAAGCACATGTCTCCTGAGCGAAAGGCTGTAATTCCACAAGGACCAAACACCCAAGAAAATGCCAGGGAACTACCACGTTCGCCAGCTCCACTTTCCCCCCCTGCCCACGGCTGCCTGTGGGTTCACCCTCTCTGGCAGCTCTCGTGGACTCCCTGGCCTCGCGCCACCTTGTGCTCGGGTACCTGCGCCTGGGGGCTTCTGGCGAGTCGGCAGGAGCAACCCCACGGGCCACCGAGGCCAGGAACTCTTGCCGCTTCTGCTGCACCAGGCAAGCTGCACGGATTATTTTATGGCGAGGGGTCCGAAGGTAAGGCCTGTTCACTTTCTGTGCAAGGTCTTCAGTGACCATTTCCAGGTCTGTCTGCAATAGCGAAAATATACAGAAGAAAATAATTTTACAGTGAAATGAGGACTGGGCAGAGCTCTACACTGTAAATACCAAGCAGAACGACACCCATTATCCAGGAAACACCATGTGAAATACCAAATTGTCTGCCCTTCTCGCCTACCCTTTTAACCACCTCCAGCTTGGAGCAGGGATTCCCTGCAATCACACATATTCAACATCTTCGGGCGCCCTAAAGGGAAGGGAAATGAGGTGACAGCCCTGGCCACCGATGCCACAGACACTCAGGTACACCCTGAATTTTGTCCCCACCCACTTGTTGGACACATTACTAGGGAAAGACGGGGAAATGGAGCTGGAGAAGGAGATGAAGACTGAGGGTAAAATATTATCTTCATAAAGGCAGCTTAACAGCAAAGAAGTTTTTTCCCTTTCCACCATCTTTATCTCTTTCATTCTGCAGCAAAGTGTTGTATTTTATTAATTCTAAAATTGAACTAAAAGCTACCGTGTTACAGCGTAATAAAAATGCATTAATTTTCCAACTTGGTTACAAATACCTAAGAGGTGTATCAGTTTTACACTACAAAACCAGCAAAAAAGACACTGATAACTAAAATGATGAAAAAAGAGTAACATTACAAAAGCACAGTATACCCATGTATTACCTGCATAAGTTCAAATATTTCTTTCTTTGTGCTTTTAGGCTCCAAAAAGAATCCATATGGATAAGAACACTTAAGAATCCGGCGAGTTTTTAGAAGCTCTTGTACTGCATCTTCAATGAATGTGGTATCAGGACAGCCTCCCTCAGCTGTAGGATGGAACAAGCATTGTGAAAGTATTTTCCTGCTGCTGTCAGCATTTCTTTTACTCTAAGAGTCTTCCTCCAAAATAATAAAGATTCTGTATAAGATTATATGTATATATATATATAGCTCCTCCAAAATAATAAAAATTATCTGCATGTCAGTTAAATGTTTTGCAAGTAAAGAGCAGCAAGTGCTCAATGACTACACAATGTTCTTACCAAGAGAAGTGAGCACAGTATATTAGCTTCTCCCTTATTAATGCTACTTTCTCCTTGAGTCTTTGGACTGGATAAGATTTACTGTACATTTAGCTTTCATCCACTGCATATGAATTCAAGTACTGGAGGGATCACATCATGCAGCTTCATCTCAAAAAACCAAAAAGCTTAGCCAGAACAGAGTTGATCTGATTTGCAATCCCATTCGTAGGTGACTGCAGATACTTACTGCCACTGAGAGCTCTACTCAGCTGCTCCATCTTTTCTTTGGCTGTTTTCAGAAGGCGCTGTTCTAACTAGAAAAATAAAAGAAGTAAAATACAGTAAGATAATTATTTTTTTGTTAATAAAATAGAGACAAAAATCGGTAAAAATGGCTACCTGGTAGCTAAGTTCATGATTCTTAAATCTTGTGTAATAATGCATAAACCTATCAAGCTCTTGAAATCTTCTATGCTTCTTTTCAGCCTGCAAAATAATGAGGAGACAAAAGAAACCAAGATAAATTTTATGATTTAATTTAGCAATCAACACTAGATATCATTACATAACCAACTCCTTCTGTTCCCACTATTCATGAAGTATTGTACCCAAAGTTGAGGAGTGCCAGATAAGTAAGGAGACAGGTGTAATTTTTTTTTAATTCACAAGTCTTCAAATGCTGTAGCCAAAGAGTCGATACAGTCTGTGTGTGCATCCTATGTAAGCAGACTTTCCAAAAGCCAGAATTCAGGGATGGATTCTGACGTGTACAGCAGCACATTACAGCACCAGGATGCCAATTTCGCAAAAGGAAACCACGGCACAAAGAAGTAAAATGACTTAGGTGAACTCAGCCAGTGGCTGTTGGCAAAGCCAAAAGCAGAACCAGATTTTATATTTCTATTCACAAACAAGCAGTATTCGCTTTTATGTAAGGTTGTGTTTTTCCATTTAGAACTCGAGTTGGGGAGAATTCTGACTAAACTTATCCTGTATAGAAAATTGCACCTTGGACCTATTTTTCCAAGACACATTTATTACCTCTACTGTCATCTCCTTGGACTGCTCCTCTACATGTTGAATCACCTCATAGCGAGTGCATCTGTAATAGCCTCCAGTGGAAGAGCTGTGCTTCTTCCATTCTTCTAAGCATATCCAGCAAAAGTCGTATTTGCACTTCAGAAGAAAGAAGGAATAAGAGGGACAAAAAAATGATGATATATCACAGATTTGCAGTTATGCATCACTATTTCTCTGTGAACATCTGAATTAACATCACTCTGTGCGTGCTTACGGTCAAAACAATTTCTGAGGAGACTCCTTCCTATTTACCTGCTACAGAAGATTGGGGTTATCAAAACATGTCAGTCGTAAGTTTGGTCCTTGGATCACAAGACTGTGTTGGATCTACAAGTTAAGTTTTAAGTGGATGTTGAATACAGCTATCAGGCCTCTTTTAATCTTTGTTTTAAAATAAAACAGTCTCATTTATTTCAAGCAACACAGAAACAGTTCATGAATGAGGGTAGATTTTTTTCCTAATATCGATTAAAAAAATGTGATTACTAGTATTTTTGTCATGTGGTGTTCCTGATGCAAAATATTAGTAAAAATAACTAAACCAAGTGAGAAAAAAACCAGAACATAAACTCTGATGAGTGATTACTTCAAGGTAAGCCTTTTCTGCGTTGACTGAGTAGAAAGCTTCAAAAATACCTAACACCTTACCAGGAGATCTGACTTATCCAGGCTTCTCTGCATCAAAAAAGATCAAACTGGGTTAAATATTTTCAACTCAGCACTGAGTTCTTAGCTAATTTATTTCTAAATAATTGGAAGCTATTTCCAAATGGACAGACAAAAGACTTGATGACTTGGTGAATCCTGTTTATTTTATCTGTTCTACAGATGAGCAAATCAAAATCCTGAATAAATGAAGAAAAACTTTAATTAATAGGAAGCCATTAATACAATTATTGAAATTTGATAAATTAAGTCGCATTTTTTTATCTCTGATAAGTTTAGCTTTTCCAGGAATATCTAGTCCATATCAGCTGCGTTTATCAGTAGTTGTTTTATACAATCAATTATATATATTGCAGGAAGGAATGAAATCTAATGCTTGCCTTGTACTTTTGCTAATTTCGTCTCACCAGTGATGCTGATTTTCTTCGACAAAGCAATGCAGACTAGGGTATTTCTTGTTACTGTGCTGCACCTTCTTTGTTCTTAAACATCTTTTTGAAACTACTTGCTTATACAAAATGGCAAGATGAGTGCTGAGAATGAAGTGTGAGAGTAACTGTGTATCAAAGTGTTAAGTGTGTATCACCGCATCATTTGCTGATCATTCAAACCCAGTCACATTCATTGTAAGAAAAAAAATTACAAAATCTTCAAAAGATGGTATGAAACAAACTGTTTCACAAGCAACAGAACTAAAACCAGCTTGACTTCCTATTAATTTATGTACGTGCTCCCACTGCACTAACCTCGCCTCTCCCAAACCATCTCCCTCCATGGTCACTCCACCTCATGTATCTTCTAACCGCTCACATCTCCAAAAGTCCCCTCAAAAGCCCAAGATTCACCCAGTGTTCCCAGATCATCCTCCAAAACCACAGTCTTATATACATTTTAATCCACATCGTCTGTTTCTACCCATCTCCCAAAACTCCAAGGCTGTTTTACGTAGGGGTGCGCCTTACGACAGCAGCACCACCTCGGCTTCAAAACCGACGCCTGCTGCCCGGCCAGCATCTGAGCCGAGTGGGAGAGGTCAGCGTAAGTTAGTTAGGGTGAGTTAAGGTAAGTCGCCTTGCCGAGCAGGTATTTCAGGCTCTGTCTTGGTGGCAGTACAAATTAAGTCTCTGCACTAGCCAGCCACCAAGTTTCGCAGAACTTGCAGCAATTTATTACGTGTGAACACCCTCCTGTTCCTTCCAATCTGGTTCCCAGTAGCCAGAAGGTTAGGAAACCACTACAGGTAGGGCAGTGAGAGAGTAGGCCTGCCTGAGCCTTATTTCCTCAGCAGCTGGGCTTGTAACAGAGCAAGACGCTTGCTTAAGTACAGAAATGAGGGGAGGGTGCAGTCAGGTGGAGTCGGGCTCTTCTCCCAGGCAACTGGTGACAGGACGAGAGGGCACGGCCTGAAACTGCGTCAGGGGAGGTTCAGGTCGGATCTCAGGCAGCCCTTCCTTTTGGATCCTGCCCAGGGCAGGAGGGAGTCACTGTCCCTGCAGGGCTTTAAGGAGAGGCTGGTGCCGTGCTCTGGCCCATGTGGGGGTGTTGGGTCACGGGCTGGATTTGATGATCTCACAGGGCTTTTCCAGCCCTGATGATTCTGTGATTCTGTGAAGCGTCCCGCCCTGCAGCGAGGTGGTGCCAGCAGCTGAGAGGCAGTGGCAGGTGGTCGGGGTGCAGCCTGGGGCCGCCCTCCCTGCCGCCAAGGCAGAAGGCCCCACGCAGGCCCCACGCAGGCCCCACGCAG